TGGGGAGTAACCCAGGCCTAGCAACCCATCCACAGGGGAGTAGAAATCATCCTGGGTTGCTGCACACTACTGAAAGCGGATTTTACTAGAGATGTTTGTATTCTCGGTATTGGACTGGAACTAGCTTGCAGTGGAGACTCCTGTGGGGGAATATCATTAAAAAGCGATAATTTCTATTTGCATTTGAAGAGACTCCCCGCATTAACCTCGGTTGCAAGCTAGTTCCAGTCCAATACCGAGAATACGAATATGATCTATTTATTTGGCTCGTATGCAGACTTAAGATATGCCTTTAGCTTAATTTTTGGTTACTTCGTGACCATTATAGTGCAAGATAAATTGACGGAACGCTCGTTGTGGGTTATTGATCCGCAGCAGATAACCATACAGCTAGATTGATCTATTTGGCCAGCAATATAGAAGGTCAATGGCAATTCTCTCCTCTGGGAACATAAAGGGATCTAAACAGAAAAAAATTCTTACAGGTTTTTATGCCGAAATTTTATTTATTTTAAATAATTTACTATTATGCGTCTGGCTTGCCAAAATCCTAATCGTGATGACCTAACGCGAATTACAATCAGGCCTAATGCTACTATATGTCTTCTGTCAAAATTATTAAAACCAAAAATTACAGGTAAAATCGATGCCAAATTATATTAACTCGCCCGGATTTATCCTGTCACCAAAACTCTCAGATACGAAGGAAAGCACTTAAAGTACAATTTGAAGCGAATGGTTAGGCCGATTCTGGTGATATTTTGGGGGGGAAATTGGGTGGATGTTTCAACAATTAATTTTAGTGTCAAGAAGATAACTTTGTGATATACCGGATTAATTTTCGAATATTGAACTTCATAAACACCGAAGCGCAATCGAAACGTCGTTGGTTATTACCCAAAGTTCTTAGATTATGTCAAGACAAAAAATATCTAGTCAGTATCGTATCTGAAGATGTCGCTTTCTTTGCTAAAATGACTTTTTTCTAGACAAGCCTCCGTGACCGGTCGAATGAAACTTCGAATGAAACTTAGCCAGTTATCATTGGAATAAGCCATGCTGACTTTAATTCATCAAGTATTTTTGAATGTCACCAGCCTTTATTCAAAAATTACAAGATCGTGGGAGTTAATGTCAAACTTTTTATAAATTCGAATTCGAAATGAGCGACTAATTTGAACTTTTTGTGAACTGCAGCCATTCCATCCTTTAAAAAAAGCACTGAGTTTCATAGTCAGAGGTTTATCTGCTGTCCTGTTAGTTGTCTTTGGTGGTCATCCGCATACATAAATAAGCTGTTTTCATCAGTGGAGAGGTGTAGATCGTCTGGGAAAACATTCCAAAGAAGAGGCCCGAAGGCCGATCCCTGGGGACATCCTCTTGCGATAGCGTACAAGTCACTTGTTGTTTCTTGACTGATCCTAACCCTGTTTTTCCTATTTGTGAAATATGATCGCATCAGGGCTAGTGAATTGTTAGAGAAACCGTATGCTCTCAGTTTGTTGATCAGTAGGGTAGCGTGCAGCGAATCAAATGCCTTTGACATATCGGTGGACAAGACTCCGACAACGTTCCTGTCATCAACAGCCTGTTTGCATCTTTCTACCAATCCAATAAGGGAAGTTTACACATTATCAAATTTGCTATACTAATTCATCTCACATATTGTCAGACTGTCTGGCATTTTTGTCGCTCTTCTGATGCCAGAAATCTAGAACGAATTCAGGAACGAGCACTACGAGCTGTTTATTGTGACAATAAATCGACGTGTGAGGGACTCTTGCAAAGAGCGAAACTACCGACACTTCATGCGCGACGATTGCAAGCCATTGCAACCATAATGTATAAAGTCAAAAATGGTCTGGCGCCTCCTTGCATTGCGGAATTATTTGTTGTTACCAATTCTCAATATCACCTTAGAAATTCTGATTTCACCATACCCAGATTTCGGACTGTTGCTCATGGCAAACATAGCCTGACTTATTTAGGCCCTTTCATTTGGTCCAAACTCGACAAATCTATTCGATCTTCTGAATCATTGCCCACTTTGAAAAAGCGCATCAAATTGGTTGATTTCATTAGCCTGCTGGACACTTTATCTTACTACATGACTCACTGTTTGTTTTATATATATATTAAAACACCTACATTTCTTTAATCGTAGTCAGGTGTCCCCAATTAGTATACATTGTATGCTAGCAACTTTGACGCGTTAATAAAGTTCTTATCTTATCATATCTATTTTCGCTGCGTTTTACGATACTTAATTGGGACTTTGGGCAGAGGAAAAAAGTTGTTTTAACAATTTTAGCGCATTTAAAATGCATCCTGTCTTGCCGCTTACAGGTGCAGACTAGTGAGTCAAATTTATTATTCATTGATGGCTATATAAGTGAGCTAAATGTGTTGCTTCTGACACAATTTTCACTTGGGTTATTTATCAACACAGCACCGAACCAAAGGGAGCAGGTATAGATACGATGCGAATCACCACAGTGCTACTTCTATTTTCCATTGCTCTTTTGATGGTAGAATTATCCGAAGCTGCCACGAAACGCCGTTCGAGGTCCAGTTCATCAGGATCAAGAAGACGCTCAACTTCCAGGACATCTGGTTCATCCAGTCGATCAATGTCCAGCTCGAAAGGCTCAAGCTCTAAGCCCAAGATCACCAAATACACACCCATCGAACCCAACACAGTCCGCTCACCTGTCATTGTCCGCCAAACTAAAATAGGTTCGCGTTCAAGTACGTTGAAGAAAGTTGTCGCCGGTTACTTGGTGTACAGGTATGTGCTTGGCAGTGCACCGGTGTACCGACAGGGATACCCGATGTATCGTAATTACGTCTCCATTCCAAAGAACAGAGCTGTGAGGCTTTCCAAAAAGGAGGAGAAACTAATGGACTTGGAAGGAGAGCGGTGTCTGGGGAATTCAGCGACAAACCAAACGCTGCGAGATGGAATTGACGACCACCTCACTGAACTGAACACAACGATTCATTACAAGGAAAGTGGAAAAACTGTGAATCTTTCTGGAATGAACAATGCAGTTTCTCTGGAAGATGTTAAGGATCAGGATTTCGAGGTGATAAGTCGCGCTCGATATAATACTTCGATTGTGGTCGGAACGAACTGTTCGCAACTCGAGATGCGAATTGAAGGAACAATGGTGGAAATGTACGAGACGAATCCGAATGGCGCGAGTGCTGTTGGGCTCAATAAGTTGCTGCTTGCCTCTAGCGCAATGGCTGTATTTATTGCTTTGTTTAAGAAAACTTGGTTCTGTTGAAAAAAAATGAGAGGAGGCTTTTTGGCTTTTGGCTCCGATACATTCCCTTGAGTGTGTTGGTTAATGATAAATTTTTAATTTTGCTGACCATTATTTAAATTTGCATCTGTCAGAACTTTGAACAGTAGCTCGTTTATCAATTTCTTGTTTTAATTGTTAGTCTTGATCCAATGCTTTGCTTTTTAATATTTTAGTGTGTCTCGTATCTTA